ATGCGCGCAATCTTCTGAGCGCAGGTCGCCCTTGTCTGGTTTGATGATTTATATTAGCGCCCTTCGCAAAAACTCATTATATCCGTGCACCGCGAATTTAAGAAGAACAAAAAATAATCTCCGCGGATACACTCCCGCGTGCATAGCGGGCTTGCCTGCGCGCGTGCGTGTCTTCGTGCATGAAGAGTGCTTGCGCTGAATATATGAAGGTGTGTGTGTGTGATGTGTGTGTGTTGTGGATCGCGGCGTGCGTGGTGCGTGCCGTGACGTGCGTGGTGCGTGTGTGTGTGTGTGTGCGTGCGTGCACGGACACTGATACACAACAACGGGCGTGCGTGTGTGTGTGTGTGGGTGACTGTGTGTGTGCGCGCGCGCGCGTGCCTGTCTTCGGTGCGAAGCATGCATGAATTTAGAGGGTGGTGTGTTTGTTGTCGTGTGTGGTGTGTGTGTGTTTGGTGGTGTTGTACTGCGTGTGCGCGACGTGTTGCGCGCGCTGGCGTGCGCTTCGCGAGGGTGTCGTGTCAGTATCGCGTGCTGGTCGTGGTGTACGTGGTGCATACGTGCATTCCTGCAAGCGTCCGTGGTTGCGCCCATCGATTCCTACGTGGCTGCGTGCATACGTGGGCGTCCATGGTGTGCTGGTATTTAGAGAATCTATGTTGTTATCTCACAACGACGACGAAGAGGAAAAGGTCTAAGACCTGAGACTCTTAATAATATATACACGTAATCCGAGGTAATAAATAATTTTGCATCGGCAAAACATTCGAACCCGTATTATTCATACACTCGCATGTAACTGCTTGGAAGGCCTCGCGCGTGAAAAAAAAAAAATGTTCGACGCTTCCTGAATCATGATATTCTTTTAGCGGAAGCGCGATCAATTCTTGATCGCGGAAAAGAAAGAGACTCGAGGAGAGCGAACGGAGAAGCTCGTGCGATGGTCGACACGCGAAACGGTCAGGAAGAGCTGGAAAGGAGAGGGAGAAGGAGTAGGAGAAGGAGAAGGAGGAGCGAGAAGGAGAAGGAGAAGAGTAGGAGAGGGACAGAGAGGAGAAGGAGAAGGGAAGGAGAAGGAGATAGGAGAAGAAGTAGGAGAAGGAAAGGAGTGGACGAATAGAAGGAGAAGCGAGAGGAGAAGCGAGAAGAGAAGAGAAGAGAAGGAAAGGAGGTTAGTGGATAAGTAGGAGTAGACGAGAAGAGTAGGAGAAGAGAAAGGAGTAGAGAAGAAGTAGAGAAGGTAGGAGTAGCAGAAGGAGAAGAGTATGAGAAAGAAGTAGGGAAGAGTGGAGAAGGAGTTAGGAGTAGGAGAAGGACTAAGCATGAAGGATGAGGCGGTGGCAGGAGCGAGAAGAGTAGGAGCGAGAAGAGGATGAAGGGACAAGAGTGGCGCGGGAGACGAGCCGATGGGGAAGACCACGGGGTATAGTAGTGTATGGAGGATGCCCAAGAACGCAGGAAGAGAGAGGAAGGCGAGAAGGGAAAACTTGCACGGAAGCAGAGAAGAAGAAGTAGAAGGACGCGTATATGAGTAAGAGACGTAAGCTGAGGTGTAAATTACGATTTCCATCTCGACGTTCAGCTAACACATCAACGATAAAACAGCGCTGGTGTGGTGTCACATCCTTCTGTCCACCCGGCGCATGAGCTACACGATTCGACGACAACAACAAACAAGCCGTAATGCTATCGCAGCGCAGCGATGCTTTGTATCTTCGCGGTAGGGCTTCTCTCGTTCTCGCATTCTCTCATTTTCTCGTGCTCTCGTTCTCTCTTCTCTCGTTTTTTTTCTCGTCTCACTTCTTGATGGTTCTTCGTTCTATCTTCTTCTCGTTCTATTTCTCTCGTGCTGCTCGTTCTTTTTTCTCTCGTTCTCTCCCTCTCGTTCTTCTTTCTCTCTTCTCTCGTTCTTTTCTTCTCTCTTCTCTCGTTCTTACTTCTTTTCTGCTTGTTTTCTCGTTCTTTTCTCTTCTCTCGTTCTCTCTTACTCTCGTTTTGCTCGTTCTTCTTCTTCTTCCTCTCGTTGCCCTCTTCTCTCGTTCTCTGCGTTCTCTCTTCTCGTTTCTCCTCGATCTGTCTCTCTCGTTCTCGATCGTTCTCTCTTCTGTCGTTCTCTCGCTCGATCTCTCTTCTCTCGTTCTCTCGTTCTCTTTTCTTCAGTTCTCTCTTCTTTCGTTTCTTTTCTTGTTCCTTCTTCTCTCTGTCTTCTCCTCGCCCGTTCTCTCTTTCTCGTCTCTCTTCTTTCTTACTTCTTTCTCTCGTTTCTTCTCTTCTCTCTTCTCCTCCTTCTCTCGTCTCTTCGTTTCTTTCTTCTCTCTCTTCTCCTTTCTTCTTTCTCTTTTCTCCGTTGCTCTTCTGCTCGTTCTCTCGTCTCGCATATTCTGCTGCGTTCTCTTTCGTCTCTCTCTTCTGCTTCTCGCTTCTATCTTTATTCTCTTTTTCTCTTGCTTCTCTGTTCTTCTTCTTCTTTTCTCTCGTTCTCTCGTCTCTCGTTCTCTCGTTTGAAACAACAACGTAACCGTATCGCAGGCGCACGCACTGCTCTGCTGTCATCTCGGTATGGCTTCTCTTCCGTTCGACGCAGAGTCTGTGTATGAATAGCAGCAGCAAAGAGGCAAAACAATTACAGGCTCGGAGGGCCGCGAACCGACACCTCGCGAGCTGGGTTTCCCTCGTGTGCAGGAGAAAGGGACGGGCCAATTCAAACCGCTAAGATCCAATTAGTTTCGCGCACACAGACAATCGTTTGGTTACGGGTTTCCTTCAAGTGACCTGTGCCAGCCCGAGCAGGCGACAATTAGTCCGTCTTTTTTTATGATACGGTCTACGTGGCTTAATTGAAGCAAGGGTATAATACGTGTGGTTTTAAATTAGCATGCTATAGAAAACGGAACGTGGATGCTTCACCAGTACATAGATGTAAACTGGCTGATTATAGTGGCTAGATGTATATGCTAGATGTTATAGTGGCTAAGATGTATAGTGGCTAGATGTATAATGGCTAGATGTATAATGGGCTAAATGTATATTGCTAGGATGTATCAATGGCCTAGATGTAGTAGTTGCTAGATGGTATAATGCTTAGATGTCATAGTGGTAGATATAGTGGCTAGTGATGTATATGGCTAGATGTATAAGGCGTTAGATGTATATTGGCTAGATGTATAACTGCTAGATGTTCACATGGCTAAATGGTATATATGGACTACGATGTATAGTGGCTAGTAATGTATAGTGGCTAGAATGTATATATGGCTAGATGTATAATGGTGAGTATGTATAATGGCTAGTGTATTAATGGTGAGATGTATAATGGCTAGATGTATAGTTGCTAGATTATACGTTGGCTAGATGTATCATGGCCTAAATGTATAATGGCTAGATGTATAATGGCTAGTATGTATAGTGGCTGTATGTATAGTGCTAGAATGTATATATGGGTAGATGCTATAGTTTGCTAGATGTTATAGTTGCTGATGGTATCATGGCGTAAATGTATAATGGTAGAATGTTATAGTGGACTAGATGTATGTGGTAGTATGTATAATGCTAGATGTATAGTGGCTAGATGTATATGGCTAGATGTATAGTTGCTAGATGTTAATGGATAGATGTATAGTCTAGATGTATAATGGCTAGATGTATAGTGCTAGAATGTAAGTGGCTAGATGGATAATGGCTTAGATCGTATAAGGGCTAGATGTATATTGGGCTAGATGTATAATGCTAGATGTATATGGCTAGATATTATGAAGGCTAGATGTATAG